CATGTCAACCGCCGGCTGGAGCGGCGAGTCATTGACTGGTGAGGATGCTGGGGTTCCAGACCAGGACAGGGAGAGGTGTGTGGGATAGACCCTGAGAAAGGTAGCTGGGTTCTTACTGCCAGGGGGATCAGGCAGGGCACTCAGGATGTGGTATTCATTGGAGGGTTCACTGGGTGGAGCTTGGAAAAGGATGTCCTCCATTAATTGGGTATGGACTTAAGGAGAGGGATTGAGTAAGAGATTGACAGGGAGATGAACTCATAGACAAGGAAAGCCAACTCAGAACCCAGGGAATAGGACCTGCCACCACCTGGTAGGACTCAGAAGATCCTGGAAGGTGTAAGAGATAAGAGCAATACTCCTCAGGGGATGACCAACAACAAGATGGTTGACTATGTCATGGAGTCCATACTGTAGGGTGAACAAAGGGAAGTGTCACCAAGCTAGGGACATAGAACAGAAGACCTCTAAAGAAGATGGGCTTGGTGACTGAAGTAGATATTTTCAGTGGAATGGTACAAGACATCATGGAATGGTGGGTGGGTAGAGCCTGGCGAGAATTAAGGGTCTGTCCACTGTATGAAGGTTTCCAGGCCCTGGATGGGAGAGAAGAGGTCAAAATATGTCTGTGGCCAGGAGATATTGGACTAAAGATATTTATCAACCAACTGTCAAGTATTCCCATGACTCTTGTGAGAGCTCAGTGTGGTTGGGTTCTTGGCTGACGCTGAGCTGAGAACCCTGATGGGAAATGTAAGGGGCTGGTGAGGACTGCCGCTCCATTCCCCACAGGTACCAGCACCTGCAGATCAACAAGAAGATGACCAATGAGGTAGCCATCTTACAGCACTTGCCCGAGCGGCTGCGGGCAGAAGTGGCCGTGTCTGTGCACCTGCCCACCCTGAGCCGGGTACAGATCTTCCAGAACTGTGAGGCCAGCCTACTGGAGGAGCTAGTGCTGAAGCTGCAGCCCCAGACCTACTCGCCGGGTGAATATGTCTGCCGCAAAGGGGACATTGGCCGAGAGATGTACATCATCCGAGAGGGTCAGCTGGCCGTGGTGGCCGATGACGGTGTCACCCAGTATGCGGTGCTTGGTGCAGGGCTCTACTTTGGGGAGATCAGCATCATCAACATCAAAGGTGGGCACCTCAGCATTTGTTCTGGAGACCGGGCTAGCGGAGGGGAGTGGGGACAGCAGAACCCTGTGCTGGGACCAGATGGTCCTTCAGTGCCCACAGATGAAGGACAGCTGGCCCTTGCCTGAGTCACTAGAGTGCTCAAGAGAGAGGCAGGACACAGAGGGTCTCTTCCCTGAGAAAAGGCTGAGTCAACGTCAGTGAGAAGGTTGGGTCCTTGGAAGAGAAAGTAGACTTGCTCTGTGAGTATTCACCCGAAGCACCAACAGGTCAGTGGAAAGTGCAGAGATAATAACAATTAGTAATAATAATGGCTAAAACTTTCTACATGCCCTGTTCAAAGTTCTTCATGTGTACCAATTCATTTAATTCTCACAGCAGTTCTATAAAGTAGGTACTATTATTCACAGTTTAAAGGTAAGGAAATTGGAGCACAGAGAGTTTGGGGAACTTGTCCAAGGTGACATGGGTGATAAGTATACACACTTGAAGTCAATATGAGAAACAACTTTCTCATAGCCAGCTGGAAAAGGAGGTAGAAGGAATGAACTCCTGCTTACTCCATCAACTCCAGTCCAGGCTAGGTACACTGTACACTGACTCATTTATTCTTCTTATCAGCCTGTGAAGGAGGACAGCACAGGTAAAGACACCAAGGCCCCAGGAGATGGGAAAAACTTAAAAGGGGTAAGCACGTGTCACTAAGACACTAACGTGCTCTCAGCCTGGGGATCCCACTCTCCAGTTGTCTTAAAGGCCTCACACTTGTCATCCAAGGACCCCCTCAAGCCCTGTGTCTGGTATGCAGTTGGCTACTATCTACTTGACTTTGGACAAATCACTCCCTCTTTTAGGCCTCCGTTTCTTCACCTACCCAAGAGGGGTGATATTCAAAACCCATAGAGTTATTTGTGAGAATTAAATGAGCTGTATGGGGGAGGCACCCAGTGCAGCGCCTGGCACATGGCAAGGGTTCAACAAATGATAGCTCCCTTGCCCTTTCTAAGGTCCTTCCAGCTCTGAGACTTCACAGCATTCAGAACCTATCTTCCCACCAGCCGCCCACCATGATCTTTCTAAAATGCAAATGATACCATACAGGTCTCCTGCTAAAAATAGTTCAATAGTTTTTGTCCTTTAGCATAAGGTCTAGACTCCTTGCCAGGGCTGTGGGCCTTGACCTGGCTCTCTCCTTCTCTCCCAGTCTCCTCGCAGGCACGCACGCTGCACTCTGGCCTCTCTGCCCTGCCTGCTGTATTCGGTAACCACCCAGCTCTTTCCCACCTCCATCCCTCTGCTCAGGCTCCTCCCTCTGCCTAGTTGCCCTCCCCTCCTTCCCTAGTTACCTCCCACTCAGTCTAGGCGTCGTTCCTCCTTCCCTGAATTCTCTGCCTTGAAGCTTGTCTGGGGCTCTTTGCCTGTCTGCCCACAGTACCAGATGCTCATCTACACTGCACTGACTGTGCTGTTAGGTAACTAGTCCATCAAATGTCTATTTCCTCTAGGCTGGACTCTTGGAGGCAGGCCACTGATACCCACTCAGCACAGGGTCTAGGCCCCACCCAGTACATTACAGAATGACAGAAGTAATGAGGCAGAAAGAGAGGCTCAGAAGCACAAATGTGGAGGTGGGGGTCCTGGTTCAGGCGGGAAATACCCCCTCACACCCACCCTGACTAATTGTCCTCCCACCTGTCTGCTCCTGGGCCACAGGGAACATGTCTGGGAATCGCCGTACAGCCAACATCAAGAGTCTAGGTTATTCGGACCTGTTCTGCCTGAGCAAGGAGGACCTGCGGGAAGTGCTGAGCGAGTACCCGCAGGCCCAGGCCATCATGGAGGAAAAGGGGCGTGAGATCCTGCTCAAAATGAACAAGTTGGATGTAAATGCGGAGGCAGCCGAGATTGCCCTACAGGAGGCCACGGAGGCCCGGCTGCGAGGCTTGGACCAGCAACTCGATGATCTGCAAACCAAGTTCGCTCGACTCCTGGCTGAGCTGGAGTCCAGTGCACTCAAGATCGCCTATCGCATCGAGCGGCTGGAGTGGCAGACCCGGGAGTGGCCAATGCCTGAGGAACTCATCGAGGCTGATGACGAGGGCGAACCTGGGGAGGGAACGTCCAAAGATGAAGAGGGCAGAGCAGGCCAGGAGGGACCTCCAGGCCTAGAGTGACCCCATGTCTATCCCCAGGACTCCCACCACCAAGGGAATCCAGAGTTGTAGAGAAATCTGCCTGCAGAAACTCCACCATCCTCTCTGCTGGGTTACAGAGATGGGCGTGAACTGGGTCTATAGATGTACCACCTAGAGATGCAGGAGTGTAGCATATGTTCAACCTCTGCTCACCAGAACTATATACACACACAGGCTCGCACGCACACGTACCTATTTGCACATATGCACATTGACCAGGAGACTGTGAAATCCATATAAAATGCTCTGGAGTTCCCCTTCTCAGAGCACACATCTTTCTCACCTACATAAGTCTTACACCCACACCATATATGTACATTCAGTCACACATCTCATAACAGAGTCACACACACTCTCATACTGAGTCACACATCAATACACACACAGATGCCCTCCGTGGGTCTGCACACACTTGTGAACACACAAAAGCACACCTATAGCCCTCTTGTTCCAAGGTATCTTTTAAATGCTCCTCCACATGGGAGGTTCACAAGTGTACCCTGCAAACAGCACTTCAATAAAGTATTTGCTTCCTCACTAAGCATTTATGGAGTTGATGGAAAAAACCAAAGCCAATGTGAGCCAGCCAGGATAAATTCTGTCTGAATTCTGGGTTACAGGGGCAAGGGGCACAGGCTGTGTAGTAGCTGGTGGGTTGGCATCGAAGAGATGGGAGTACTGATGAATGAAGAATCATTTTGCCACAGTATAGCAAGCTTATGTATCACACTGCTCTAAGTATGCACATGTTTTCATAGACACATTCACATATACGCCCTGACCGTTGCATCTCACAGCAGGGTTTGTATCCTCAACCTTATGAGCTCTGAGGGGTTCGATCTTGCTTACTAAGCCAGAGTAAATGCCTGCTCCTTTTTCCTTCCTTCATTTCAGCCCTGGAACCTAGGACCAGGGATACCTTACCCTCAGAACTTATTCCAAGGGGAGAATAGTTTCCAGTTACCTGGCACTATCCTACCATGATGGTTCTCCAAGCTGGCCTTGGTCCTGGCAGAAATCCAGTCCTCCTGCTCTGTACAGCTTTCCAAGATATAGGGTGGAGAATGGAGGCTCAGTGGAGCAGAATATCATGTTTGGGGACAATTGGAGATGAGTGTTTGGGGAGTTCTGGAGAAACTTTGACATACTTAGAAGAAGGTCTGCAGTTTTGGGGCAGAAGAGGTATTATGGGGTCTGTGGGGCAGAGTCAAATGCTGCTTTCATTGCACTTTCACCCTTGTCATAATTTTAGCTCCTCCAGGGCCTGGCCAGTCCTTGGGTGTGAACTGTGCCAGGCAGTACTTTAAAAATGTGCTTGGAATTTAATTTACCAACATTAAACTGATAAATTTATATTGCATTGACTAAGTGATGATAAACTCAGAGATCAATGCCACTGAAAGAAGATTTATTACATACAGTCCCCAGTAGGAAGAAGGCACAGTATGCCATACAGGACCACATGGAGAAGCACCAGGATTGGTCAGGAGGCAGAAGGAGCAAGAAGAAGATATGGGTAAAAAGTTTTTATTTATATAGTGATAGCAAGTTTTTAGGTGAGGACATCCCCTGTTAGGTAGGAAGCAAAACCCAATTATGGGTTTTGTGGTTGAAAGGTTCATAATATGACTTTCAAGCACCTACAAAAGTCAGACCACAGGGGAAATGTAAACAACATTGGTCATTAATTTTCTCATGATTTCAAGATGCTGAATCATCAGTTACAGAATATCAAGAATGATTATTATAAGTGGTACGAGAATATAGGGTAGGGCCTCCAGGGCTCTGAGGGCAGGATGTGCTGATGTGTTGTCATGGAGACAGTCCCAGGGTTGTTGGTGTCCCCTACACTGACCAACCTTTTGGATATGATGCAGGTGACACAGAGGGACTCAGATACGAAGGACTTGAAACAAAGCTTTTTCAAATAGCCACAGAAACTGAGACTGGGGCTGAAGCTGAGGTGTCAGGAGAGATTATGAGGGTCATTGCACTTTCAATCATTTCAAAATCTGTGGTTATTTTGTGATAACCTCCTCACAAATTAAGAGATCCATAGGGCTGGCATGGGGTGTCTTGATTATTGCTGGGTCCTCAGAGCTAAAACTATGCAAGATTTTAGGTACCTAAATATTTATTTGACAACCAGAGATGAGAGTTGAATCAGGTAAAGATCCAATTTTGGAGGAAGATGTGTCAGTTTTGCAAGAGGTTTTCCTACCATCCCTGCCCTTCAGTCACGTTGAGCTAGAATGGGTAATGAAGGCCACTTTGGTGGTTTCTGATGGATTCAGGGTGCTAAAAATAAGTTTTTCATTGATAATGTACACACCTGTCCCAAGAGAAGACTCTCCTAGAACAGGTGGCTTCTGCCACCTGGTAGAATCCTGACCAACAGCACAAGGAGGGTGATAACTGGTCATCTTGCCTATCCTATATGCAGGAACAAAATTCTTCTGGAGTCAGCTATGCATCTTGCTGTTTGCTTTTCCAGGATGGGAAGATCAGATTCCTCCTGGTGGAGCCACCATACCACAAGACATCTTGAATAACCAGGTTGAGGTCCTCTAGTTGCAGACTGACACCCCTCCTGTGTGGGAGACAGCATTTTGACCATTTGGGATCAAGTTGGATAGAGTTGAGCCAGGATGGGCAGCAGGGAACACAATTTTAAGTTCCTGGAATCACAACAAAACAACAACAAAAATAATCTTTTAGTCCAAAGAGTATTATTTACTGTGTGTCAATTGCTAGGCTAAGCACTTATCTATGTGGCAGGAAACTTCACAGAGGCATTCATTTGGGTTTTGTTTATTTTATCCCTCCTCTCATCATAAAAAAGTTCCTGAAGATTTGTATCCCCCAGACTTAAAGCTTTTCAAATTGCAGTGTCAAAATAGAAATGTTCAGAAACTCTCTGCCCTAGCTTTTGTTTATAAAAACAGGGCTCCCACTATGGAAAACAGTGTGGAGATTCCTTAAAAAGCTGGAAATAGATCTGCCATATGACCCAGCAATACCACTTCTAGGCATACACACTGAGGAAACCAGATCCGAAAGAGACACGTGCACCCCAATGTTCATCGCAGCACTGTTTATAATATAAAAAAAAACAGGGCTCCAAGGTTTTCAGAAAAAATTCACCTAAGGGTGAATTGGCCCAACTGTCTGTGAGGGCTTAGAGTTGAAGAAGCAGACACTTCTGTACTTCTGAGGAAGGAGATTCTCTAAGACTAAGGAAAGAAATGGGATTCTTGAACATTATATTAGTTTTCTTTTACTGAAGTAACATATTGCCACAAATTTAATAGCTTAAAACAGTACTCATTTATTATCTCACAATTCTGAGTCAGAAATCTGAACACAGTGTGGCTCAACTGGATCCTCTGGCTCACCTGGGCCTCCCAAAACCAAAATCAAGGTGTCAGTTGGGCTGGGCTTTTATCTGAAGTCTCTGGGAAGAGTCTGCTTCCAAGATCATTCAGTTGTTCAAAGAATTCAGTGTCTTTTGGTTGTGGAACCGAGATCTTTACTTCCTTGACACATGACCCCTTTATCTTCAGGCCACTTAGAGGCATGTTAAGTCTTTCTCATTCTCCAAATCTCTTACTCCTGCTTCTTTTATAAGACTGAGAGATATCTCTACTTTTTAGGGTCATATGATTAGATTAGGTTCATCCAGTTAATCCAAAATAATCTCCATATTTTAATTAATGCCAGCAGGTTATTAACCTTAATTATATCTATAAAGGCCCTTTTTGCCATAATCACAGAAATAACACCAGAGGGCAAAGATAATGGGAGCCAAAATTCTACCTATCACAGGGTTACTGGGAAGGAAAGCAGCCTGGACCCCACTTTCACCCCAGGCTTAGAATATGGAACCCTAAGGATCAAATCTTTGGAAACGGCAGAAAGATCACTTTGCCCCAGGGCCTTCTGGAGTCTCAAAGCAGCATCCACTAGAGGGAGCACAGGCTTGAGTGAATGAGGCACATACCTGTATTACCAACATGGTCTGACTGCCACAGAGCTTCCTGGTCTCTAGAGACTCTGCCCGACATAAAATCCACTGATATGTTTATAAGACCCTAAATCTGAGAGAGCCTGGAAAGAAAAGTCACAAAATACAAGGAGATGAAATCTTCAGTAAGATAGTTGGTTAAACATTTAGATGAAATTGTCTAATTTAGAGAATCCAGGAAAAATCCAATTTTTTATGACACTAGTGGTAAAGAATGCAGGAGACATGGGATATACAAATTTGGTCCCTGGGTGGGGAAGATCCCTTGGAGGAGGAAATGGCAATGCACTCCGGTATTCTTGCCAGGAGAATCTCATGGACAGAGGAGCCTGGCAGGTTACAGTCCATAGGGTCATAAAGAGTCAAACATGACCATCTGAGCACAAATGCAATCATTTGTAACTGCTATATGTAAATTATCTCATTTGGCTCTTATAGCAATAATAGGAAAATTAAATTGCTTTATGTTAACTTTTCCAAATCAGGAAACTGAAGCCCATGGAGGAGCTAAAAAAATTACATAGGATTTTGTAAATTTGGACTTCCCCAGTGACTCAGCAGTAAAGAATCTGCCTGTAATGTGGGAGAATTGCAGAAGACGCAAGTTTGATCCCCAGATCAAGAAGATCCCCTGGGGAAGGAAATGGCAACCTACTCTAGTATTCTTGCCTGGGAGATCCCATGGACGGAGGAGTAGGGCAGGCTACAGTCCACGGGGTCACAAAAAATCAGACACGACTTAGTGACTAAGCAACAACAACAAAATTGTAAAGCTATTTATGCCAGGTCCTGGGCTAAGTGCATTGTCTCAGCTAATCTTTATAAACTATGAGAAACATGCTATTATTTCCCCATTTTGAAATGAGGAAACAAAGGCTCTGGGGGATTAGATAATTTGTCCAGTATCACAAGGCTCCTAAGTCACATGGAATGAAACCTAGGTTTGTCTGTTTCTTCTGGGGAGATAAGAAATGGAACTGCCTCAGCTTGAGGCCAAGGCCAGGCAAGTTCCTTCTTTTCTTGAGAATGACTGTTGCAGGCTGTAACGGCGGTAACCAGGTAGTAACCAGGGGAGAAGGAGCTAGTCATGGTGCAGAGCAGCACTTGTCATTCACCAGCAAGCCAGTGTGCTGAAGTGTGATCTCAAGGCTGTCTACCAGACAAAGGGGCACCCACTGCTCTGGAGGAGCGCTGCTAGTTCCAGCTCTCCGCCCTCGTGCATGCAGCTGGGGCAGGAGCTGGGGAGTCACCACCAGATTCCTTCTGGGGTTTCAAAGCTGGGCCCCCCTGCTGAGAGCCCAGCTGCTTCTGGCTAAGCTCTTCTCCCCACCCCGTCTCCATGCCCACCTCTGTAGGACCTAGGTCCTCACGCACTTCCCTCGCTGGGTCACTAACCTCAGAACACCTTGGCCTGGCTAAGACTTGAAATGCACATTCCTCCTCAGTATTTCCAGTTAGCCGTTTCCCCACAGGAGTTTCTTCAGCCCATGCTGTTTCACCTTTTTCTTGCTGAGGGTTTGACTGCTAATGGCAAAGACAGATAGAAATAAAGTAGCCAGCTTGGGAGGAAATCAGATTCACAGGGAGTCTGGCCATCCAATCCAGGGAAGATCTGGTACAAACACTAGGAGCCAGGAGCAGGAGGACAGGTGGGTGGATCCCAGCTTGCAGGCGAAGCTAGGGTTTGGTTTGAGGCTTGGCTCAGAGGTAGATGATCAATCTGGGTTGAAACTTGGGTCAGGGCAAAGCCCAAGTCAGCGCAGGTTTTCGGCTGGCCTAAAAGCACAAAAGATAACAGTTTGGGGCCAAAATGTGCTGATGGTCAATCAGAGTCGGATGGTTCTGAAACATCACTTAGTAGCTGGGGGACTCAGTCTCCTACAAAATTGAAAGAAAATTGAAAGAAATGCTTAGAGAATTAAAATGTAAATGAGATTATGAATGGAAACTGTCTATCGACAGAAAGCAACTGCTTAATAATGAATAATAGCTAAGACCATTATTCTTACCTCTCTAGCAGGTAAGAATGGGAGAAGGCAATGGCAACCCACTCCGATACTCTTGCCTGGAAAATCCCATGGACTGAGGAGCCTGGTAGGCTGCAGTCCATGGGGTCGCTAAGAGTCAGCCGCGACTGAGCTACTTAACTTTCACTTTTCACTTTCACGCATTAGAGAAGGAAATGGCAACCCTCTCCAGTGTCCTTGCCTGGAGAATCCCAGGGACGGGGAAGCCTGGTGGGCTGCCGTCTATGGGGTCGCACAGAGCTGGACACTACTGAAGCGACTTAGCAGCAGCAGCAGTAGCAGGCAAGAATGTGCCTTAGAGGGTCCTGGGGCTCATGGGTTGTGCAGCCTTCCTTGGCCTTGGGCCTAGGGGCTGTGCTGGCAATGCCAATTCTGGCCAGCAGAGGGCGAAGTGCTTTCTTTCTCTCCCCTCCCAGCTCCCTCCCAGGCCTCAGGAGTGCTTTCCTTGCACAGCTGGGAGAATTACCCGAGAGAAATGGAATCTTAAAATCCGGGTCTTGACTGATTTAAGAAAAACCATATTTAAATTTTCTGACGAAGACAGCAGTGGTGCGGCTGAGCGACATTACTGAGGAAGTTATGCTAAATCAGAGCTCAAGGTATGGGTACCTGTTGAGGGCAGCACATGGAATGGCTGGGATCATTCAGGATTGCCCTCTCCCACAGTTTGAAAACTCGTGCTTTTCACCCAGAATGCATGGACCTCCCTGTGTCTGGCACTGCTTTTCCATTTTCAGTACGTTGGCATGTTGTCCTCAGCCTTGCCCTTCACCAGCAGGTCTCACAGGGCCCCAGAGGCAGAAATGTATTTCTGGAAGCCTTCTCTCTGTTTAGCCTCCTGGGTGAGCCTTCCTATGGCCCTTTTAGCCCTCAAGTAAGGCCCTGACCTGGGCCAGGACCAGCCTTCCCTTTGTTTCTTTCCTCTGCCCAACATCCCTACATGCTCCAGCTCCTGCCCGTCTGTCTTCTCAGCTCATTGCCTCTTTGTTTAATCATGCCAAGAGAAGGACCTTCGATGTGGGCAGGGAGTGTGTGGGCAGGAGCTCAGCAGAGAGGCATATCTGCGCATCACAGAAATGCAGAGAAAAGAAAGGCCTTGAAAGGTGAGGGGAGGAGACAACCCACACAGTCCCAGGGGAGAGACTGAGCCACTGGGCCAGCAGGCTCCCCAAGGAGTAAATGACTGGTTTCCCTCCTAGCTCTGGATGCCAGCTGGCTGTGTGTCAGGGTCAGGGCTGTGGAGGCAGAGCGTGTTCAGGACCACCGCGCACGAACACTGGGCTCCCCAGGGCAAGTGTTGATGTTTTGTGGACTTTCAGGCTACCTGGAATAAGCCCTACCTTATCAAGCAGGTTATTTGGCTGTGCATTCAACACTATGTGCTTTTCTCTTTCATTCTCTCCCTTGCATATTTAGTGATGTATTGTTTATCTAAACACTCCCCTCTTATCTCAACTGTGATATAGAATGTTGAAAGAAGGATCATGTGCCCACCTTGGGTAGTAGCTTGGGTGGCTCAAACTTCCCCAAGGCAAAGGTAGATTGTTCTAAGCCACAAGAGTCAAGCAAGGTGGACCAGCACCCCTGCAAGGCACACACGTGCATGCGTGTGCATGCATGTGCACGCACATACACACAGACACAGACACAGACACACACACACACACACACACACACACACAGGCAGGCACCAAAAAACAGAAAACTGACAACCTTGACAGGACAAGGCCTGAGTCAGAAAGGCAGCTTCCCTGAGGACCGAACCTGGCCCTATTTAAGGGCCTCCTGCACTTTCTTCCTTGATCTAGCTTTCTGACTTGTTCTGAAATAAGGGTCCAGGTCTCTGTCCTCTGTCTATTCATACTGACTTTGAAGTTCTCTTTCTGCTGTGATCTAACGTTCCCCTGTTTCCTGGCCCTCAGCAATCTCACGTTCTCTTGAATTGTTGGCTTAATCCCTGGCACAGATGGAATCTCCTGATTCTGAGAAATGAGGTTTGACTCCGCTTAGTTTTACATTCATCTCTCCTCCTTCTTCCTCGGCTCATGGTATGTCCCTCTTCCCCCATGTGAAAAAAAGTGAAAGCATCAGTCACTCATGTCAACTCTTTGATACCCTATGAATTGTAGTCCACCAGGCTCCTCTGCCCACAAAATTTTCCAGGCAAAAAAATATTGGAGTGGGTAACCATTTCCTTCTCCAAAGGATCTTCCCAACCCAGCGATCAAACCCAGGTCTCCTACAATGCAGGCAGATTCTTTACCACTGAACCATCAGGTAACCCCACTAGTATCTATGACTTTTTTCCTCTTTACAAACCATCTTCTTGAAACAATTTACACCCACAAACTCCTGATCTTCACCTCCCATTACCCATCTGCACTTGGTTAGAGGGGCTAAAATGATCAAGGTACATAGGTGATGAATAATATGGAAGGCACCACAAAATTATAAGCAACTCAATGTTCCTTGAGCATTAAAAAAAAAAAGGAAAGAAATGAGAGTAGTGTGGGGAGTGGTTTGAGAAACTGTTGGAGAAAAGGACAGATGCCAGACACTTGGAATACAGACAAGCAAAAGGGTGACAAGACATGTTAATTGTGGGACTACCATGGTGGTCCAGTGGTTAAGAACCCACCTGCCAATGCAGGGGACACGAGTTGGATCCCTGGTCCAGGAACTAAGATCCCACATGCAGCAGGGCAATTAAGCCCATGTGCCAGGACTACTGAGGTGGTGCTCCAGAGCCTATGTGCCCCAACTACTGAAGCCCGCTCACCCTAGAACCTGTACTATGCCACAACAGAAGTCATAGAGAGTAGCCCCCACTTACCACAACTAGAGTAAGCCTATGCGCAGCAACAAAGACCCAGCACAACCAAAAACAAAATAAATAAATTTTTTAAAAGACATGTAATTGTGAGAATTACCATAACGAATGAGAGATACAGGTATTAAAGAAGTCCAGGGGTTAAGAATCACCTAATCCAGATGTGTGGGCTTAAGGAAAGCTCCTCAGAGGAGTTGCAGCTTCCGTAACTCCTTTTCCAAGATTAGCAAACTCTCATATCCTCAATTTCTTTGAACACTCTCTCAACTGCCCTGTTAAATAAAGCTAGTCACTGCATGACTGAGGGTGGCTTATCCACACCCACAGTCAGCTGCAAGAAAGGGAAGCAAGGAAGAGAGAATCCACTCCTTTCCTTGAAGAACTTGATCTGGAAGCTGTACTTAAGGCTTCCATCCACAACCGCTATCAAGAATGTAGTCAAAAAAGCCACACTTAACTACAAAAATCTAGGAAACATAATGTGGTTGCCATGACATTTTCATCTATATACTTATAATCTGGTTGCCATGACACTTTCTTCTAAAATTATTCTTTTCTACTAGCTTTTTAAAATTGAGTCTCTACTCACATCAAAAGGTAGGACCCTCCACACGTACACTGGGTTCCATACTTTGCTGCCTTTTCTCAAGAAACTTGCGTTAGTGTCTCTGTTTCTCTTGCCTCTTGGTTTCTGTCTGTCTTTCTCTCCTTCAGTCTTTTCTACACATTGCAGTAATTCGATCTGCCACTAAAAACGTTCTAGTTCTTCCATATTAAAAGTCTTTAATTCCACATCCCCCTCCAGTTACTACCCTTTTTCTTTTCCTTAATCACTACTATTCAAAAAGGCTTGTCTCAAGTCGCCTGCTCTCCTTCCTTCCATCGCATTCAATGTTCAGTACATCGGATCCATCTTCTGTCTCTAGTGAAAAGTGAAAGTCGCTCAGTCATGTCCTCACTCTTTGTGACCCCATGGCCAGAATACTGGAGAGGGTAGCCTTTCCCTTTTCCAGGGGATCTTCCCAACCCAGGGATTGAGCCCAGGTCTCCCACATCGCAGGCAGATTCTTTAGCAACTGAGCCACAAGGGAAGCCCAGGAATATTGGAGTGGTTAACCTATCCCTTCTCCAGGGGATCTTCCCAGCCCAGGAATCGAACCGGGGTCTCCTGCAGTGCAGGCAGATTCTATACAAACTGAGCTATTGGGGAAGCTCTAGGACCTCACCAAAATGGCTCTTTCTGTGGCCAAGGCTCTCCAGGTCCCTGAATTCTGAGTACATTTCTCATCCTCATTATCTTGGTCCAGAAGCAGCATTTGAATACATTCAACGTGTCTCTTTTTGCTTCTTTGATGTCTTTCTCCCCTCACCCCTCCAAATGCTCCTTCTTGGGCTGTTTTGCAGGTTGGTCTTTCTCTATCCAGCCTTTAAATAATGGTATTTTCTAGACTTCTCATCTGGTCCTCATTTCTCCTTATTCAACATACTCTCGTTAATTCTATGGTTTGCATTAATTCCTACAACCTGTATATTCAGCTTTCTACTGGAATTCCTACTTATATGTCTAATAGGCATCTGAAACTATACTTGTCCAAAGTGGACCAGATTCCCTGGTGGGAACTTCTGTCTGATAGCTATTACCTTCTCTATGAAGTCAAGGGCTGTGTTATTTGTTGTGAGTAAAAGTTGGTGTGTGTGTGTGTGTGTGTGTGTGTGTGTGTGTGTGTGTGTGTACAGGCACTCACCAGAGTTAGAGATGCAATAAGAGAATTTATTAATCAAGAAAATTTTTTAAAAAATTGCAAAATGAGAAGAA